GGTGTAATAGTCATACAGTCTCTAAAGCCATCCAAGCAGTGTATTGTTGCTAATGGTAGGGCAAATAGGAGTTTAGGTTGTATCTACAGAAATATTGATACAAGTCTAAAGAGGTTATAATTTCATTGTACAGGTCACTGGTTAGGCCACACTTGGAATACTGTGTTCAGTCTTGGGCTCCTTATCTTAGGAAAGACACTAAATTGTTGGAAAGGGTTCAGAGAATGGTGCCTGGGATGGAGGGTTGTCATATGAGGAGAGGTTGAAATTGTTTTCTCTTGAAAAAAGAAGAGTTTGGGGGGGGGGGGGAAGTCTAATTGAGGTGTTTAAGATTTTAAAGGGAATTGATAGTGTTGATGCATCATCTTTTTTCATACTTAACAGTGAGAACAGTTAGAACTAGGGGACACAAATATAAATTTTGGCAGAGTAGGAGTCATCTTCAACTAAGACAGTTTTATTTTTCTAACAGGGTGGTTAGTCTTTGGAATGGGTTGCCTTCAGATGTTGTGGAAGCAGTAAATTGAAATGAGTTTAAGAGAAAGCTTGATAAGTATACAAATAAGGGCTGCTTATAGATGTTTTTTTTTAGTTTATTTAAATAGTTTTAGTTTAGTTTAAAAGATGGAACAACCGAGATGGACCAATAGATCCCATGTTGTTCCAAAACATTGTTATATTATTAGTAAATTTTTACTAGGTTATTTTAAACATTTAGTTGTTCATGACACAGTAAATTAAGATTATATATGAAATCAAATTTTGTTTTACAATAAAGATTGGAATGCAAATCATGAAGGAAAATAGCTATCAATAAAAGGAAAAAATGGTGTAGGCATTTGAGAAGTTACATTCCTAAACTTATTTTCTTTCATGAAGATTATTATTCCTGTGGAAATGATAGGGAAATCAATATTACTTACCTTGAAAGCTTAATATGTCATCATACAAGTCAAAAGTTAAAAGTGGTTCTGGTAGTTCTCTCAAGAAGGACTTAATCATTACAGCAGCAACATGAATATCACCATGTTCTTCAAAATTCACTGGCTTACCTAAAATTACCAAAAACAACAAAAAACGATATCACTATATCTTATTGAAGTCATGCTTCATTCAAACTATGTCTTTTCTCTTTTAAGTACCATACCATTTACTTAATAGTGTAAAGTTAAAACGACAGTAAACTCCAGGAGAAACTTTATTTTATTTAAAACCAATCCTTCAGTTTATGCTTTCAGGGGAATAGTATCTGCTACAGGCATCAAAGGTATAAGCTGAAAGAGTGGTATTAAAGAAAATCAAGTTTCCTGGAGTTTACTTTCATTTAGTTCATGTAATTAATCAGAACCATATTTACATAACTACCTTTTAAATAACAACAAATGTTAACTTATCATTTCAAGTGAAATATTTTTTTATATAACACAAAAAGTTGTGCTTGTAAAGGACTACACAACAATAAAAACACAACCTTAAAGTTTTGTTGGTTATAACATACCTTCATCAAACAAACTCTGTACTGTCTTAAGAATCTGGGTATTAGCTGATCTCCTGAAAATTCCCTCGGTTTCAAGTGCTGCACAAGAATAAAAGCAAATTAATATTATAAATGTACTACTTTGAAAGCTTTTAACCAAAAGAAAAAATCAGATGTGCAAATTATTAATCTTGTTTTGTATACTGTATTTATGGCAAAGCAACTGTCACTAATTTCTAACTATTGACTGGAAGGAAGACAGTCAGTCAGCAACAACCTACCACCCACCATATGCATTAGGGGATTGACTGTCAATCTTATAATGTACCAGCTCTGAAATCTAGTTCTACCACAGGACCAACCCATGGCTAAAATTATTACTCAATTTCTTTTATATATTATCCATCCATGGATTTACTACAAAATGAATTCTTGTCTTATAAGTCATGAAAACAAATAAGTGTTTTTCTTAGAATATGAAAAAACAAAAAATAAATTTATCAAATAGGATAGCTGACTAAGTGCATTTAACTATCACAGACAGATAAAAAGTTTTTTGCATAATATTTTCAGTGTTACGTACAGTTATCAATGGTCTGTGAAGTAAAAATACATCCATAACTCTTCTTTTTTTGATAAGATTTTATTAAATAAATAAAAAGAAACACAAAAATTATAGTATTTAACTTTTTCAATGCTTAATGGAAGTCTGTCTGTACTAGAACGATGTTTCAACATGATTACATTTAATGTTTCATGTTTTAAAACGTGTACCTAAAGAACTATAAATACTAAAATAGACGTATTCTATATAAGAACAAAATATCTAGAAGTACAATCTTATCACCCTTCTTTTGTTTTACCAATGCTTAATTTTTCCACTTTTTAATTTCATAACCATTAGTTTCATAACCATAGCTATAATACACATTGTAACTCTTACTGACAAGTATCATGCAGGTTTTAACCTTATTTAATATTTCATTCCTGTTTGAAGCTTTGCACTAAAAATATGCTTTACCTGTAAAGACAGAACTTATGAACAAATAGATGGCCTAAGCATGGGCAGCCCTCTGTCACTTGGATTATGTAAATTGTTTATCAATAAAATAGAAAGTCAGGCCATTAACACAACTCTACACCCTCCCATATACTGGGTTAGATACTTTGACAATGTATTTTGTGGATTTGAAGACAACAAACATCAACAGTCATTTCTACAACATGTAAACAACATTCACTTTAACATCAAATTCACTCATGAAGAAGAGAATGAAAACCAGGTTTTAAATTACATGAACATAATAATAGTAAGAAACTCAAACAGTTTTAACACGAAAATCGTTCACAAATCTGGTAATGATTACATCTATATAAAGTGGGACTCAGCCCACTCAACTCAACAAAACATTGGCATATTATCATGTATTTACAACACAGCATTTAACATATGTAGTAGCAGCAATCTGCAGCATGAATTAGAATCAATATCTAAAACATTTATTAACAATTGTCACTTCCCTAAACACACTACCACTAGAACCCTAACCAAGTATAAAAACAAACTCAATAACAGAAAAAAAAAGAAAAGGAAAATAACATAAACACCATGAAGGAAACAAAATGCACAAATTCAGACACACTGATAGGTGTCTTACGATATCATAGCTATGTAATCAAAAACATCATAAATATTTAGAAACAAGCAACAAAAAACATAAAATAAACACCAAAGTTATGTTTATTCAAAAACTGAGCACCAAGATCAAAGTTCATCTCAAGAGGGTTTATTCTGACAACTTCAACAACGGAAGTATCTACAAGTATCAATGTGATAGCACTTACAAAGGAAAAACAGAATGCAACATAAGCTTTAGGATTAAAGAACATAACAAGCCCCATCACACATTTATGAACACAGCACAACAAATCAACATCCAATTAACAACTTTAAGATATTATGCGATGAAAACAACATTAATAGAGGAAAAATAAAAGAAAGCTTATTCGTGAAATAAAACCTAACTTAAATCAAAATACAGGTGTCTCCCTATATGCCTTCTAAGCACAAACACTGATCTTTCAGACTTTTAGTTGATGACTCTATGAGTGGCATGAAGAGTGATTCAGTGATAACATCTGTTTATCATGAGTGATTTAAAATGCAAGAAAGAGTCCTGTGTGGAATTAATTTGAAACAGTTAGTGATTTTAAAATGACATGTAAATTGTGTAGCATATTACTTTCTTGTGGTGGTAAAGGACGTCAACTTCCTGTGTGTTTGCCAAACAACAAAACATTCATTTGTATTACAAAAAAAAAAGAATTGTAGAATACTACTGATCATTTCACCCAAGAGTTGAACTACACAACTGGTAAAATGATTGTGTTGGATAACCAACTGCATTCAATTGTTACTGGGGAGGGGTTTGTTCATTTGGTGATGAAAATACAATTACTACATAAATTATCAAGCAAAATCTATCTTACTGAGGAAAACTGTCCCAGATATAAATAAAAGATGCAAGGTTGCAACTGCTGGCCAAAATCTGAAGGTCAATGCCATTTATTTAACATCAAATATCTTATCACACTCGACATCAAACAACAATTTCAATAACTTCACAGGATATATGGACTTATAACATGCTGCTTTTAATATCAATCATTTTAAAAGAGATATTAATGGTGATGCAATAGGAAAAATGTTGGAAAATTTAATGAATATATGGGAACTTAAAAAAAGAAAAATATTTGCTTCCTAATAAGAAATAATGGAGCAAATATTGTGAAAGGTTCTAATGATTCTGGATTGTCAAGTAAATTATGTTTTGTTCATACATTACAACTTGTGAATATAAATACTCTGTAATTCCAACAAGCTGTAGTTGATCTCATAATAGTCAATATAAAGACTGTTACAGTTTAACCTTTTGTTTTAAGTATCCCTTAAAACAAGCTTGTACAAGATGTGCTGACAAAATGGAATTAAACATGTTATCTTTTTGAAAGGGTTTTGGAACAAAAGAGAGAGCAACATGCTTCTATGCTGTAGACAATATAACCAACCTATCAATAACCAATGGTCCCTATTAGAAGGATGTTTAAAATTGCTACAATCATCTGAAAAAATTATTGAGAACGTTAGTTTCAGAGTCTTTATCATTTAAGAAACTAACCTAACTGTGGCTGCTCTTCATTGCTATCCATTGAAGGAATACAAATGCCACTTTGGACTGGAAACAATGAAAACATCCTTGAGAGAAAGGCTAGAAACTAGATCTACTGGAATACAAAGCAATCCAAATTCCAATTTAGCTACCTTGTTAGATTCTCACAGTAGCAGTTTTCAGAGAACAACAGAACTAAGCAGCATAACAGAGTTTGATGGGCAAAGCACTAACATAGACAGATAGTGGAAGTGTCTTAAATGACTACTCACCATTAGTCACTACCAAGTTAAAAGTTTTCAACAGATGACATGACTCATTCTTATTTTACAAGTAACTACAAAATTAATTATCATAGTCAAACTGGTCTTAAGAAAAAAGATGCTGTAACCAGTGATATTAATTTCTATTTACCTCTGCCACTTTTAAAGTGACAATAAAATTTGCCATTGTGGTAGAAACTGGAGAGACTCATTTTCATTACTATCTCAGTGTACATTAAGATTCTTATCAACCCCAACCAAAAGTATATGTAGTAGACATTTGTTCTCAGAAGTCAACAATATTTATATGGTAAAGAAAAACAAGTTGCTTCCACAAAATGTAGAGCAGCTACCGATCTTGCATCGCAACTCAAATTCTTTAACTTTAAGTGCTGAGCAAGCATATCTGAAGGAGGAACCTTAATGAGAAAGTGAATATTTCAATGTACTTTAAATATATAAGTTATGAGCTTTGTGATATAATGACATGAGTGTAGTTTTACAAGAACACAAAACAAAAATATTTAGGGCTACCAAACATTTCTCTCATTACCTATAAAAAAAATAGTGCTTTCATTAAACTTAAAATGAATATTAAATTAAAAATTAAATGGACTTGTGACCACAAAAATAAAATATATGTTACTGATAAATGAGCTTGTTAAATAAGAAAACTTACTAATACTATTACAATTTTACATTAATAATGTTATTAATTAATTGGTCTTCTGTGTGTTGGTTTGATATTTGAAACTTCCTACTTCCTAGGACAAACAGCAGGTTTCAGGTTATATCGTTCTTGGTAAGTATAAAATTACAATTCTTTGGCTGCTGAATAGATACTAGTATTCAGCTAAACCTAATACTGGGCAAAATGACCAATTAGATCAGACACTTATACTAACCAATTACCAGCTACAATCCTACTAATAACAAGTAACAGCGAATTACTTTCAGTAAATGCGGTACCATGTAATTGTTTTGTTAGAAGTTTTAATCAGTATTGTTACACAAAACAAAAATTTATATATATAGAGTATGATAAATTACTGAAAGCACAGTATATCAGTGCATGAAGAAAATGTTAATGAATGACTCTATTTCATTTAAACAATACAAAATGTGAAATTTTCTAGAACTATTTTTTTTATCAGAAAGGCATTACATTAAATAAGATATATATTGATAATTATGTTTAATATAAATAAATACCTGTATCACTGTCAAGGTAAGCAATACACTCTTTCACAACTCGGGGTATGGGGTCACCACTGTTGTGTTCTTTGATGCTATAGTAAATAAACCCATCACTTT